GAACAGTTGGGGCTCCCGAGCGGCTGGAAGAATTAATTAGGGACCTGCTGTTTTCTGGGCGGCACAAAGCTCGCTTGGGCAGAAGCATCCAAACCTTTGCAGGCCGCTCTATTTTATTTTTACTACATTTTCTCGGGTTGTAAAAATAGTCGCCAGGCGGGCTCTTTCTGAGAGTTTTCTAGCCAGGAGCGCATTCAAGGCCGGGCAGGCTCTAGAACAGGTTTCTCTTTTAAACAGCCAGAGGGGAGGCACGAAAATGTGGTTCCCGTGCCCCCCATCCATCTCCATCAAGAGCGCTTCAGCCAGACAGAGGGGCAGGGGCCGCCTTAATTCAGATTTACGATCTGGGCCTGGAGCCGGGGGCACTGGCTTCTCCAGGGGAGGTGCTGAGTCCCCAGCCCCCTTGGAACAGCCACCGCCCCTCCCAGTTTGTCACTGTGGGCAGGAGTGCGTTTGTGTCTGGTTGGACAATGGCGTTTCCTGGAAACATAGCTGACTCTTCAGGGACCCTGTATGTACAGGGGCTGGAGGGGGTGCCAGGGGAGTGTCCGGCTGGTTAGCACCCATGCTGCAGCGGTTGGGGAATATAGATGCAATAATTGTAGGCATGCTAACCAGAATAATTAATAGCGCAGGCGCTCCTGCTGTGACTCACTGCGGTGACCTTTGCCCTGTTGGCTTTGTTTTTGGTCAGGATCCCACACTGGCTGGACTCAGATTCTCCTGCTGATGGATCAAGTGTCTGGGAACACAGCACATTACCGAGCTCATGTTTTTCTCAATATAACATTCGTATTAGTCACATCTATTTGGGCTTTTAAATAATTACCGGTAGCTTAGAATAAGAAAGCAGTAATAATAATAATAGCGATCCGTTTATAAACATGCCCTCTAAGGATGATTGCAACATGCTGGCCTTGATCAGAAAAATCTGAATGACAAATTATCGTCACTTCTGTTGAAGTCTCCAACATGCCTGGTTTCTTAAACATGAAACTCACCGCTTCCGAGTTTGGAGAGGTGTTTATCAGCACCCGGTTCCTAACCATTGGCCCACCCGTGGACCACTCTGCTTCCTGTGCACACAGTCCCACCGGCGCTTATGGTTACAATCTCATCTGTGCTTTGACCTTTTGACTCGTTGGTCGTGGTATTTTAAAGCAACCACTCAATCTTGGCTCCTGGGGATGTTTTAGGGAGTCGCCAACCCCAAGCAGGGGCACTTCTGCAGGCCTAGCAGCCCCACTGAGTGAGGAGAGAACGCGGCACCTTTTTAATAACGCTCCCCGTCTCCAAATGTGCATCTCCGATATTAATAAAAATAACCCAGTTTCCTCAGGAGACCTTGCTAATGCAGCCTCGTTTTTTGCACATTTTGCCAGGGAGCCTTTGTTCTTACGCGTCCTTATCCCTCTTCTCTTTTTAATTTGTTGCAGGTGTTGTTGCTAATGAGCTCTCCTCCCCTCTTACAATGAAAGACAAGCCAGGCCCCGGGTACCTGCACGGATTGAGCTGAAGTCCCAGAAACTTCATAATAAGTTGCCAATGGCTACCAGCCAAGGTCAGCCGGCCCCCATTAGTGCCTGTCCCCACCAAGACAGAGCCAAATAAGCTTCTCCCCAGTTATCCACCGCAGTAGCTTTTTTATGTTCCAGTCCAGCCACACAATTGTTGTCACTTTCAACCCATATGAAAAGAAATCTCTTTTATGGGTCTGAGATGCCAAGTCCAGTCCCATAGAGGGAACATGCTTCCAGCTCACAGGTCCACCTCCTGATTTTATTTTATCTTTACAACACAGGCCAGAGGGCTGTTTTGCAGTGGTGTCGAGCACATCACACATGGAGGGCCCTTTAAAGACCAGGATTGATTGGAAGGACAGGAATTAAAGGCAATCTGATCCGGCCCCATGCCAGATCCCTGCAGGTTTCCACCCTATCCCATTTCCACCCGCTGTCACAATTTGAGAGTCTGCCCGAGTTGATCAGGTTCACCTCTGGGAGAGGTGTAATGCCAAGGTCAGAAGGACACCGAGTTATGGGCAACTTTTTGATCTGCCCATCAGCAGTCTGAGAAACGCTGGCTCTGAGGTTTCCGTATCGGCCTTTTGGGAAAACAAGTTCCTCGCTGTTCCTCGGCAGTGCTCAAGGCCCTGGGACATCCGGCCTCCACTCCCTGGCAGATGTGGCGTTTCCATGCTGAGGCCTCGAGTCCCGCCTGACCCAGCCGCTGCCTCTCCAGGGCCTCTCTGGGCTACACCCCTTGGACTGCACAGCCATGCTCGGCCTGCTGGCTCTCCTCCTGCACTGCCTCCCGCTGGCCTCCGGGGACTATGACATCTGCAAATCCTGGGTGACCTCAGACGAGGGCCCCACCTGGGAGTTCTACGCCTGCCAGCCCAAGGTGATGCGCCTGAAGGACTATGTCAAGGTGAAGGTGGAGCCCTCGGGCATCACATGCGGAGACCCCCCTGAGAGATTCTGCTCCCACGTAAGTCAGCCCACTGCTGTTCTGTTTGCGCAGGCCAGTGGGAGGGGGTCTGGGATGGACCCTTGGGATGGGCGAGCAGAGTGGGAGGACCAGGGTGCAAGGTTGACTCTGCTGGATTTTGGAGTGGGACCAGGTCTCTGTGCCACCTTGGAAATGTGCCAAAGCAAAGGCCACCCTGAGGATGCTGGGGCTGGTCATGTGACATTATTCTCTGGGGTGGGGAAATTCTTGGCCAGAGGACAACTAGTCCATTTCTCTTGGGAAGACCATAGTTGTCACAGTCCCAGCCTAGGAGATAAGCCCTGCCTCCCAGGTAAGCCCCGCCTCCCAAGTAAGCCCCTCCTCCCAGGTAAGCCCCGCCTCCCTTGTAGGAAGCCCGCATTCTGGGCCAGTGAGCAAGGTGCTGTTCGCAACACTACACTCTGACCTCCCTCTGGTCATCCCTTCTGCCTCAACCTCCTATCCCACCCTATCCAACCCAGCGAACAGTTTTGCCAGGCCAGGGCATGCCAAGCACCAAGCTGGCACTTGCAGGGGGAGGTGTGAAGGAAGTGAAGAGGGTACTTGGAGAGAGGAAGGAGGGTTCAGACCCGGATGGACAGTGTGGCCAGTGCCCTTTCCAGTTCCATCCCTGTGAGCCACAGGTACTTCAGTACCCAGGTAATAGCAACAGCAATAATAATAGCAGGGGTCATTTATGCAGCTCCTCGAGTGTGTGGGCTAAGAGCTTGACATGTGTCATTCTGTGGAGTCCTCCCCTCAGCTCAGCCAGGCAGATTCTGTGTTGTCTAAAGTAGGAGTTGTAGGGGATGGTTCTGGACCAGTGGCATCTCTGGGCCTCTGTCTCATCATCTGTAAAATGGGCACACTAAAGCACACTCTCATAGGTCGCTGTAAGGAGTACGTGAACTCATTTATATGTGTAAAATGCTCAGCATAGGGTCTGGCACAGAGCAAGTGCCCCCTATTCTCATCATACGGATGGAGAAACTGAGGCCCACAGTCACACCAAGAAGTGGTGAAACTGTGATTCAGGTGTCTGGCCCCAAAGTCACTGAGCTAAACTGCCTGCTGAGAGGTGCCTTCCCCATTGGGCATTGCTCTGGAGGCCCAGTGCCTGGCAGGAGGCCGGGCACGGCAGCCAGGTTGCAAGAGCTTACCGGAGGGGCTCAGTGTCATCCTTGGGGTGTCTGCTGCCTCCGTGTCTTTGGGGGAGTCTCCTGGTCTCTGGGTTTATGGCTGGACTGAGCTGGTTCCCTACCAGGCTCCTGAAGAGGCCTCAATCCCATGGGATGCTTCAGTCCTGTCACAGGGCAGTCAGCCCAGGAAGGTAGTTTCCCGCTTGGTGGTGCAGCAGTCCTGAGCTGTCACTGTGAGTAGTGGCTGGCTGGGGACAGGGGGACAGAGGGAAGGCTGGGATCTAGGGCTGGATAGTCCATGGGGATCACTGCACTGGGGACCCCGGAGCTTCACTGGCTCGGGGACAGGCAAGGAGGCTGATCCCTGAAGGTCAGGGGCAAGGCCAGGGGCGAGCCCGGCTCTGAGTCCGCATCTCAGGCTGGCTGCCCACCCAGCTCACGGGAGGACTTCTGCACTCACTCCCTGGGCAGTCAGCCTCTGCCTCTCATATTAGTCTTGACTATATCTCTTCTCTTAAATATTAATCATTTCCTTGATGTGCTGAGGGAGGGGCGGGGGCAGGGCAGCTAAATCATAATTCACTGGGCCAGCTTCTGGTCAAGGCCTGGAGGAATGGAGATGACCAGCACATGCAAGTCCTGGGCCCTCTTCTGGCCAAAGCTGGCTTGGGTGCCCTCGGCGCTGGACCTCCGCCCTCACAGAGAGCCCGGTGCAGCTGCCAGGGTGGGGCGGCCACCCCACGGTGCCGGTGCTGACGGGCCTGAGCCCAGGCAGGTGCCCTTTAGCCCTGGGTTTGGGAAGAGGCTTTTGATCCCTCCTGCTTTTCTCCGGGGAAGACAGGTGAGGAGGCAGGGGAGGAACAAAAGATCTCCAACATCCCCCTCGGAGATGGGTCCTCAACGTCTCGACACCTGTCTGATGGACTTAAATATTTCATTGCAGGCTGCCATCCGGCTCTGTCTGATTATAAATGTGCAGCCGACGAGGTTGGGGAGCTGCCCCGCTAGGTGGCGGGCAGCCTTCTTTGGGTGGGGGGCTGGCTTCTGCAGGGAGGAGGGGCCCCATCCACATGGGTTCAAGCCCCCACACCATCGTTGACTGCGGCTTCTCCTGAGCAGGTCCTGTGCCTGTCTCATTTAATTGTCTCTAGGATGCTCTGAGGCGGGCACTGTCCTAATCCCAGTTTAGGGATTAGGAGGTGGTGCTTAAGTCCTGCCAAGGTCACTCAGTGTAGAAGACAGGCTGGGAAGTTACCCTCCAGGCAGCTTGGTCTCCCCTCTCCAAGCTCATGTTCTTGCTCTGTCCCCGAGCTGGGGGAAGGATGCAGCCCCACCGTGCGTGTCCTGGGTATAGTGCTGGTACGTAGTAGGTGCTCAATGTGTGGTCGCGGTTACTTGCTTCTTCTTATTGTTATTGCACCCTTGGTGGGGTCCCCGCCTTTGCTTCTTTGCCTCCCTTCTGCCTGGAGGATGCCACGCCCTGTATCCCCAGTCTCAGGGCGGCAAGCAGGCCTTGAACGCTCAGGCAGCTTCAGCGCCTCCAGCCACAGCCGGTGTTGCTAAGGCCACCAGGGGGCGCCCTAATGGCAGCCAGGCAGCCCCCTGCCCCCTTAACCCAGCAGCCACCCAGTAGGTCCCTATTCCCAGGCCACCCTCCTGCAGCGGGTGCCAGGCTGTCCCAACCTCCAAGCAACTGGAGTGTGAGCCCCAGAGCACCCTGAGGGTGCAAGAGGGGCCAAGGCGCACGTGCCCTTTTCAGGGTTCGGGGTACAGACCCCCTCTCCCCCCAGGCTGGCGTCCTTCAGCAAAGCCACCTGAGAACTGAATTGTAAATTCCAGCCTGGTAAGGAAGGGGAGGGAGAAGGAAGACCAAGATAAATGAATAAATAAAAACCTATTGGCTCTAAGTGCGCAATGAGAATTAATAGGGATGAGCCGTCACCCAAGGATTCTTGGGCAAGGGCAAACTTTCTGCGAGGGCTGCAGGGGGAGAGGCACCCAGCACCCCCGATTCCCAGGGCCTGGCGGAGAGGGCCGCCTGCGGAGGCTGCGGGGCCAAGGCGAGGAGGGAGGGGCCGTGCCCAGAAGGCTCCCGGCCCTGAGGGCTGCCGCTCCCAGACCCCTTTGGGATGGGAGGTGCCAGTGGGCATGAGGAGCCCGCTCCCAAAGAGAGGCGACAGCTGCCGTGAAAGGAAGGAGGAAACCCTTTCCCTGTGCCTTTGAGACAAAAGCAAGTTTCAGGAGAGAGATGATGAGGAGAGAGAGAGAGGCGCCTGCACCAGCCACAGACCAGGCAGGTGATGTTCCAAGTGACCCTGCAACTGCCCACTTGCCACCTAAAGTGTAGTCCTAGGGCCAGGAGCATGGCCTCTCCTTGTTAGAAATGCAGAGCGCCAGGTCCCGCCCCACCTGCTGAGCAGGAGCTGCTGACCCGGGGAGCCCCACGCGGGCAGGGTGTGGTCCCAGAAACCCTGCCTCCCCTTAATCTGTCAGTGCTGCTGATTGTTGATGTTCCCCTGGGATCTTGGCAGGTTAAGGGGAGAGTCACTGCTGAGGGAGAAAGACACAGCGCAGGAAGAGTGCAGGGGTCCCGGGAGTGAGGGGACGGAGCTGGGAGCTGAGGTCCCTGAATGCTGCAGACCTGGTGGAAGGTTCCAGAGAGTGGAGGCATGATATCCCAGCAAGAGCCACAGGCCTGGAATCTGAAAACCTGAGCCTGCAGGACTGTCATGAGCACAGGGCTTGGCACATAGTAGGTGCTCAATTCATGCCAGTTATTATGTTTCTGATGTTTGCTCCCTTCTCGGATTGTAAGCTCCTCAAAGGCAAGGTTGTCTTGTTGAGCTCTGCATTCCCTTCTCTCGGCTCAGTCAGTGCTCAGTAAGCGTTTACTGAACGAGTGGATGGGTGGGTAGAAGGACAGCGTGATCCAGGAGGGCTTCTCAGAGGAGGAGAGACCAGAGCTGAGCCTTGCAGGAAGAACTAGGGTTTTGATAGGACAGGGGAGGCACCCCAAAGCCTCCGCTTTTCTGTATTAGAGTCCCTGTTCCGGGGAAGTTGGGATCGGATGACACCAGGAGGCCTGTACAGCTCTGTCCCTAAGCAGGAAATGACTTTGGAACCTGAGCTTCACCCAACCCTTAGTTAGAGCTGCTCAGTCTCTGGAAACGCCTAGGCAGGCACAGCCTAGGACTAGACTAGTCCACGCGTGACATCTTGTTGCACAGCGAAGTCTCCTTCCTGAGGAGCAGACAGGTGACAGGACGGGGCAGCACTGCCTGCGAGGCCCAGGGCCACGTGAGCGAGATCTTTGTCCCTTACTTTTCTTAAGACAGTAGGTTTGGGTCCAGACACCGCACAGAGGGTAGGGGGCAGTGCAGCGGGAGTGCAGGGTGGGGAAGGGAAAGGGCCTGGAGGGACATCTTTCCCAAGAGAGCCAGAGTCTTAGAGGTTCTGGAACTTCCCAGGTAACATAGCCCCACCTTCCCCAGGCCCATCTTGCTGGCTCTACGTCCCCCANTGCTCAGTCTCTGGAAACGCCTAGGCAGGCACAGCCTAGGACTAGACTAGTCCACGCGTGACATCTTGTTGCACAGCGAAGTCTCCTTCCTGAGGAGCAGACAGGTGACAGGACGGGGCAGCACTGCCTGCGAGGCCCAGGGCCACGTGAGCGAGATCTTTGTCCCTTACTTTTCTTAAGACAGTAGGTTTGGGTCCAGACACCGCACAGAGGGTAGGGGGCAGTGCAGCGGGAGTGCAGGGTGGGGAAGGGAAAGGGCCTGGAGGGACATCTTTCCCAAGAGAGCCAGAGTCTTAGAGGTTCTGGAACTTCCCAGGTAACATAGCCCCACCTTCCCCAGG